GAAATCTACCTCCGGTGCTCACTTGCACATTCAAGGTTCACACACAAGATTTCCCTTGGCGGGACTTAGCAAAAGGCAGGGGTGCCTGAGTCACTCCACACCTGAGGCCGAGATTGTCGCGGCCGACTTTGCCATGTCACGTCTTGGATTGCCTGCTATCACGTTGTGGCAGCAGCTTGGAGGTCAAGACCCCAACTTCGTCTTCTATGACGACAACCAGACCATGATCGGGGTGATTCGCACGGGCAAGAATCCGACTATGCGTCATTTGGAACGTACCCACGGCATCTGCATTGGCTGGTTGCACTCTATCTTTCAAGAGGGTTATGTTTCTCTTGCTTATGCGGTCACTGCCAAGATGTCGGCAGACATACACACCAAATCGTTCAAGGATTCCGTATCCTGGACACACGCGTGTCAACTCATCAACATTTTTCCGCCGGCCCTCATTGGCTCCCAGGAGATCATGGATCTGATGCGCCCTACTCATACCCAGAGCACGGATGAGAAGGGTCAACAGCACGACTATTTCACGAATGTGATCATGTTGTCTTTGATTTATAGTCGCTAACACAGCGACGCAAAACTGCCAAAGAACTTTTGTGCTCTCACGTCGAACATTTTGCATGTTGTGAGACATTGACTTTCTCTCCTCACGTTGAGCTTTCATGCTGTGTGAGTTGGCGATCTCGAAGAGCGAATGGATTCGCTTTGGAAAGTAGTCGGCCCCCTTTTTTGGTATGTGAACTACTTTTAATTTGATGGAAGTTTGACTGTCTCGTGCATCTGTCGGTGTATCCAACTTCCGAAGATTGGTTCGTGCCGGCAGTTGTGGCTCCGGAGGCAGCTGCAACAGAGAACGTTTTGGGACTCCGCTAGGGGCTTGTAACGGCGTCCTAGTAGGTCTCAGGCCCCTAACGTGCTGGCTTTAGGCTGTCACGACTCCCCGCTATAAGTGCGGGGCGTCAGATGGACTTCGGCGACGCGCTCGCCGACGGGTCTTCTCATCGATCCGAGGACAGCTCCACTAGCACTCGCGAGCTTCACAGTCAGCATATTTACGATCTCCAGTTGGAGGTCAACGCCCTGAGGCTTCAAGTGCAAGCCCTCAGGTCCGATCTGCAGACTTTGGAGGAGTCCCTTGCGCGCGTCTGGGTGAACCAGACGGGGCATCACCAACGCCTCTCGTGGCTCGAGAGGATCATCCAGGACTTGCGCAACGCCTGCAGGGCATTTCTTGAACCGCGAGAACAGTCTGCTTGAGGGGCCGCGTGTGCCATAGGTAGGCTTGATAAGATAAATGGTTACATCAGGCAATCCGGCCTTGGCCTCTTCTTCACAAGGGAATTTGGGAGGTCCAGCCGGATCTTCAGGTGCTGCCGCCTCGCAGGACCAGACTGCATCGTTTTTGCAGTCTCCCGACACCTTCTTCAGCAGGCTGGCTAAAGCCGAAGAGGACTTCCCGGCTTTGGATGCAAGAGCAGTACTCATCGGGAATTTCTCTTGGAATGAGACGCTTAAGGATAATAGGGCTTCAGTGATTCTCCTCCCTTGGGAGAGGGGACCCTTTGCCTGGGTTTTTGGTCATCCTAGCAAGCGTCCCCGCATTCCGATGCCCTACGATCATGAACCCGTGCGGCAATCCGGCGCCCCGAGTGCTGTGCCTGCGCTGAAGCAAGTGCCTGACTTTGCAAAGAAACGTCTTCAAATTGTCGCCATGATGAAAACCTCGGACTCTGCCAGGTGGGAGGCTCTTCGTAAGTTCAGGGTTCTCGTCATGCTCGAGCCTGGTGTCACCGAGCTGGGATGCATTCTTTTAGCCGAAGCTTCCTTGCTCAAGGAAGACCAACAAATTGCAAGAACGTTCGGTGATGTTTTCAGTGGGAAAGCTACTTCCACCCTCGTGAAGAGGGCCTCCGCTCTGTGGACTTTCGCCAAGTGGACCCTTGATTCAGGGTCTGGCAATCCTTTCACAGCCGGAGAAAGGATCCTGTATTTGTACTTACAGGAGCTCGAAGCGAATGCGCGGCCTACCTCGGGATCTTCTTTTCTCCAGGCCTGGAATTTCGCAGCGGGCACCTTGCAATTTAAGGATCAGGCAGCGCTGCGAGCCGTTTCTTCTCGTGTGAAGGGCTTGGCGCTCAAGATGTATCAAGGCAAGCGTCGTTTGCAGCAGGCAATCCCTTTGACTGTGAAACAGGTCAAGGCCTTAGAGTACGTGGTGATTCATGCGCCGTACTGCCATTGGAAAGTCATTGCTGGGCACCTGTTGTTTTGCCTCGGTGCTAGTGCCCGGTTCGGCGACTCGCTTTGGTTGGGAAGCCTTATTGTGTCGTCCCACCAGGGCCTGTGCTTGGTTGAAGCCGAGAGCTCCCGCTGGAAAACCGCACCCGTAGCATCGCGCAAGTCTCAGCTGTTGCCCATGTGTTCGCTGGGTAAATTCTTTGCTGACAGCAACTGGGCTGACTTGTGGATGAAGGCGAGAGAGGACTGTTCTCTGGGTTTGCATCCGGCTCTCCCTGCATGGTCTGAGAGTGCCAACTGTTGGCTGGACAGACCGATGAGCACCGGGGAAGCATGCTGCTACCTTAAAGAATTCCTGACTGCAGCTAGTCAAAAGATCGATGGCATTGGTACTCACAGCTTGAAGTGCACTGTTTTATCCTGGGCTGCGAAAAGCATAACCGTCCCGCTGTCCGACCGCCGCCTCTTAGGGCATCACGTGGACCCAGCTGTGATGTCCCCCTTGACTTATGCCCGAGATGAACTCACTCGCCTCATGAAGGTCGTGCGCGACTTGATCGTGCTCATACGGAAAGGAGCGCTCAAGCCTGACGAGTCCAGGGTATGGCGCCTGGCTCAGCTCATCAGGAATTCGGATGGTTCTGAGGCCCTCCTCGAGCGCGTTTGTGCTGATGCTCCAGATATGTTGGAACCTGAAGCTGAAGATGAGGACATGGCCGAAGCCGATCTTCAGGAGGCGGTGTCAGGTTTGACTTTGGGCAGGACAATGACGGCAGCAGAGCTTGATGCCGCCAAGGACTGTAAGATGCATGTCCATTCCAGAGTCGTGCACATTTTGAGTGGGGCCCGATTTTTGTGTGGCCGCAATGATTCGGCAAATTATAGCAGGCTCGACCCGGATATCCCTTTGAGCGACCTGCCTGTATGTGGGCAGTGCGCTAAGGCCTCCGTCGCGGCGTGAAATATCTGCCCGAGCTTCCCGCTTTTCAGGGTGAGGTCGTTGAGCTACAGCTGCGCCTCTACCTTTACAGGGTTGCCGTCGATCAACTCAAGATAGGGCCGTTGAGCTACGGCTGTGCCCTGGATTCAGGGGTCGGTTCACGCTGCCGTTGAGCCCCATGGCTGAGCAGTATTTTCCTCACCGAGGTGTTGTTTTCCGCTGGGATGTCGACTTGATAAAATTGGGCCGTTGAGCTTCGGCTGCGCCCGGGTTTTGGTGCGTCAACAGTGTACTGCCGTTGAGCCATCTGGCTGTGCAGTGTTTCCCGCTTCCATTCGAGTTGTACTTGTCTTCCCTGAATGGGTTGTCGACTTGAGAATGGGCCGTTGAGCTTCGGCTGTGCCCTGGTTGGTACTTCAACAGTGTACTGCCGTCGAGCCTTCAGGCTGTGCAGTGTTTTCCGCATCCTTCTGAGTGAGAGTGCCTGCCAGAGAATTTTCTTCGTGAGTGCTGCAACTTTGGCCTCAAGCCCTCTTAGGAGCCATGAATTCCACCTTGGACTCCGCTGCCGCATTTCATGCACGTGCACTTGAGATAGGTTTACCTGCTGAGTTTCTCAAGCTGCTGGAAGACGGAGGAGTCACAACGATGGGCACGCTAGCCTTCATCTCACCCTTCCAGCTGGGCCACTCGGACGAGAAGCCTCTGATCGATGCACTCCAGACAGTCGTGAAGCGTGATCTCACGCAAAAGGATCGAGCTTTTCGTGACGAGGCGGCTGTGGTACGAGGCCTCTACCACAGCAATGGGAGAGCTCAAACAGAAGGTGGAAAGAAGCGACTCAGCAGAACCAATCCGCTTGGCTGTAGCTGAGAGGACTACGCGAATCGAGGAACAACGCAAGCGCCTCAACGGGGTTCACTTCTCCAGTGACAGCGAGCCAAGCTATCGCGTCACAGATCTCGTGTTTCAGCAAGGCACCGACCAACAGCTCATCTGGCTTCCTTGGGAGAAATACACCAGCAGGGCACAAGAGATCGTTTCGAGCAAATCCGACTTATCCATCAGCTTTGACAATGGTGGAAACCTGCGCTTGAACAAAAAGTTCCAGGATGCCCAGTGTTCTTTGACTGGTGAGTTGCAGGTGCGTCAGGCTCTTCAGCGCAGATCCTTGTGCTACGATCTTGCGCAACTCTGCTCCTATTCAGTCATGGAAGCCTACCACGAAGAGATGTTCTCTCTTCTCTCACGCCCGCCAGTGCCGGGTCGCATGTGCATCACCATGGGCCAAGTCAAGGAGGCTGACAAGGTCCTTTTCCTCAAAATTGCAGAAGAAACCAGAGGTGCCCTTAGCGTGCGGCCGGACGGCTCCAAGCCGATGGAGCTCCAGCTTCTTGCCCTTAAGGCTCACCCCCAAGTGCAGTTCTGTGTGATTCCTGGAGCCGCGCCTTCTGCAACTCCGTACAGGGTCGAGCCTTACGAAACCTGGCTTCCGGGCGGCAAAGGTAAAGGCAAGAAAGGTAAGACAGGCAAAGGTAAGGATGGAAAGGGCAAGACCGGCGGCAAGCAGAATCAGGGTTCAGAAGTGCCGCCGCCTCCTGCTGCCTATGTGTTGCCCGATGGCTGTTCCAGCAAAGATTCCGAAGGTGTTCCGATTTGTTTCCCATATAACAAGGATGGTTGCAAATTTGCTAAGGACGGCAAGCGTTGCCGCCGTGGCAGACACATCTGCTGGAAGTGCTTCAAGCCCCACTCTTACACCGCGTGCACCAAGGGCGGCGCCTGATTGCTTCTGGCCTCACAGCCCTCGCGAGTGATGCAGCCAGCCGAGTGCGAGGGCCCGCCGTTGCAGACGGGGGATTTCTGCGATCCCTTTCTTTCGATCGGGGCTTCAGAAACCTCCAGTTCTTCGGCTTACAGGCATAACGATGCCGTGCAAAGGATTCTTTCATTTTTCCACAGTGTCCCAGGTGACCCGCTCCCAGAGGGCAAGCAGGCCGCCGAGGGCCGCTGCTTCACAACAGGCTCTTTCGTTAGGGGGTCCTTAGTCGGGTTGAGGGCAAATAGCCGTTTGCATCCCGAGTTCACGAGGACTCTGTGTGAGTTTGTCAACGCCGAAGCACACCCGGAGTTTATGTACAGCACCATCGCCATTTTCGAGGAACTTCCCGTAGGCCGTCACAGAGACGCCAACAACCTTCAGAATTCACTTAATTTTGTTTATCCGCTTACGCAATTTTCAGGTGGCCAGGTTCGCTGCTATCCACCTGACGCGCCATCACCGAGGGTCCTTTCCTTCGAAGGGGGCCCAATTTACTTCGATGCCAGATCATGCGAGCATGACGTGTGTCAGTGGAGCGGCCACCGCACCGTGTTGGTTGCCTTCAGCACTCGTGGTGTAGGCGACCTGCCTGCCAAGGATCGCAACTTCTTGTGCAACCTCGGTTTCAGGCTGCCCGTTTCAGGCTTTACCAATCTGCACTTGCAATCCGACTTCGACTGGGAGCCGGACCCGGCTGTGACCCCGTCCGCCGCAACTTCTGCTGCACAGCCAGTGCCATCAACAATCGGCATTTTGCCGCCCCCCCCACAGCTACCGCTGCCTTCCCCTTCGCCCCGTAGTCCGAGCGAGCCCTCAGTCTCGCCTGCACCATGTGGCGCACCATCCTTCGATGCTTCGGCCGCCGGAGCCAAACCTGCTTTCCCACCCGCCCCTCCTGCATCTGGTGCCAGCCCGAGTCAGCTGACTCCTTTGTTCGTCGAGGTCTTCGCTGGGTGTGCCAGGCTGTCTTCTACCTTTGCCGCCGCAGGTTTTCAAGTGCTCGCCGTCGACGGGCCGCGCAACAAGCATTCGCCTCTGCATCAGGTGTGGACTCTCGATCTGACCGTTCGGCATTGTCAGGACGCGCTTGTGAAGCGTCTCCTGTGCTCACCCGTGTTTCTGGTGCACATTGCGCTGCCTTGCGGCACTGGCTCCCGGAAGCTTCTGGGGCTCAAGCCTGTTTGTAGTGTGAGTGGGGGGGCGTAGCTTGCTCTTCCTGTGCGTTGGAGTGCGGCCGTGCTCCTCGTGCAGACGTGGCTCATCCTCTGAAGGGTGGGTCAGCGTAGTTAGTGGGGCGGCTGGGGCTAGGTGCCATAGAGGCGCTCGGGCAGGCTTTGTTGGCTCGGCGTGCTCTTTTTCAGCTGCTGGTAACGTAGAGTGGTGCAAGCAGGCGTTGCTGCAATCATTCTTTTGACACCGGCATTGCATATCAGGGCTGTAGCATTGGACTTGCTTCTTGAAGAATTCTGCTCTGACAGCGTCGCTGCCTGGCTAACTACGGACCTTGCTGCATCAATCTGGTTACAGAGTGACTCCCTGGAGATTCTTATATCGGCGGTGGACGTGCTATCGTACAATTCAGCGCGCCAGTTGGTGCTCTGGACGGCAGTACATTACCCAGCTGTTTTTGAGGAATTTCAACGCAGTGAGCACTCTGCCTTTTTTTGCTCTCCGCTTACACAGACAAAGCAGTTGGATCGTGTGATCCGGCGCCAGGTGCCTCCCTGGGTCCCAAGTCCCAGGGCTGCGATACTCAACCTGCCGAAGCGTGAGTGACTTCTGTGTAATGATCGCAAGCCACAGTATTTCTTTTGGCCTTTTGCTTGGTTGCATACATTTGGTGACTTTTTTGCCACAGTTTTACATCATGGAGGCTTGTTTTCAGCGTGGTAGTCAAGCTATTTGGGATGACGATGTGCTGGAGCGGGATTTTTTCCTTTCACGTATCGCAGCAGAAGCGAGGGTTGGTGGGCAAGCCGTGAGCCCACCTGGAGTCTCATCGTCTCTTCGAGGGCAGAACTCTCTGGAGGCAAAGCATATCGGTGGACATGATCTAGCAATTGCGCGCAGTGAGAGACAGCGTTCTGTCTTGAAGAGAAGCTTACAGCGCGCGCGTAAGCGTGCGCAGGAACATGGGCAAACCATGTACAAGGGTCGTTTGGTCACAAGTCATGACATTGGGCTCCCTGGAGAGGCCCACTCGGTGGGCGTTCGTTGCTTGCGGCAGCGCCAGGTGCCCCGAGAAGGAATCACAAACTCCATCAAAGATTTGCTGCCTGCTTGGCCGCCGCTCCAGGCGGATCTTGAAGCTCGCTGCAAGGTGCAGGTGAGGCGAAATCAGCTGGTCATTCTGACCTTGAATCTGGGGGGTCTGACTAAACCGGGATACGACGAGATTCAGCAGTGGCTTCACTCTCCACAGGTTTGCATGCAAGTGCACATAGTGATGTTGCAAGAAACGTGGAGGCCTTCGGCAGATTTTGTTGCTGGTCAGTGGACGTGGATTCAGTCAGGGCCTGTGAAGTCGTCACACCTAGGAGTTGCTGTGTTAATCAATCGGAGACTTGCCACTTCCAAGGAACTACGCACAGCGGAGCCTATCAAGGGCCGCATCCTGCGTGTGCTCATCCCTGCAGCGGCTTCTCATCCGCTCAGGCGCCGACCCATCACAGTCATAAGCGTTTACCAACAGGCTAGAAGTTCTGAGCAGCACGAAATCTATCAAAAACGCGAGAAGGTTTGGAGCAAACTCAATCAGGTCACAGCCTCGGTTCCCTTGAGACACTGGATGATCATCGGTGGTGATTTCAACACGCCGCTGCAGTCGCATGAATCTTGTACTGGTCAGGGATTGGTATCGTCTGCTGTCACGCCGGCTGATCATGAGCAGTTTGCTCAATTCTTACTGGCCCATCAGTTGTGTGCTCTCAACACTTTCTGCAGTGCTGCGGATGCGGCCACATATGTAGGGCCTGAAATTCGCACCCAGATTGACTTCCTACTGTGTCGGCGATCGCAGGCAGGCCGAACCGGTCGGCAAGCCACTCCAATTCCGCAGATCCGCCTGTCGGCTTGGCGCACTGGGGCTCAGCATCTTGTGGTCGGTGCCATCCTCACTGACACTAGGTCGGAATGGTCCAGGCAAGCCCTCCCTGAACGACTCGTTCAGGCACGACCTGATGTGAACAGGATGACAAGTGAACTTCAGCACTCCTCTGCAGCCAGACAGGCCTATCATGATTGTGTGCGACAGCGCATGCCTGCCACTATCAGCTCTGAGAGCGACCTCATGCTTGTGGACCAGGCACTGCACCGAGCCGCATGTCAGCTGTATCCATCCCAGCCCGTTAGTGCACCGCGAGCGTGGGAAACGCCGGAGGTTAGGCTGTGCCTGCGCAATGTCTGGCAAGCGCGCGAGCGTCACCTTGCACTGATGCGCACCGCCGGGTGTCATGTCAGGGATCTTTGGGAATGCTGGAAAAGCCATGTGTCCTACCATCGTCAGGTACGGGAGCTCCGCAGGCAAAGCAATCACAAGCGGCGTCAGCTTTGGAGCGAGCAGCTTGAGCGAGCTGAGGCTGCTCTGGACCGGAATGACAGTCATGCTTTCTATAAGGTAGTCAAGCAGTTGGCACCACGACAGCCCAGGGAGCGTGTGCAGCTTCGGGATGACCACGGTGCAGTGTTGTCGGTTGAGGCCGAGCAGGATGCCATGTTGCAGCATTGGACCAAGGTGTTTGATCATCGTAGCATTCCTGTTCAGGACTGGGTTCTTTCTGAAGCCTTGGATGTCAGCTGGGATGAGGCGTGCAAGGCGATGCGAAAGTTGTCGGCACGTAAGGCTGTTGCGCCAGGCTGTGCGCCGGGTGCGACTTGGAAGTATGCGCCAGATGAGGTGGTAGATTGTCTGCAAGCATACATGCAAGATGTCTGGTCTCAGGGGGTGATTGACTTAGATCCTCGCTTAGCTAGGGCGCGGTTGCACTTTCTGACCAAAGCCGGTCGGTTGTGTCGCAAACCAGGCGACTTGCGGCCCATTGCCCTCCAGCCGTCAGCTGGTAAAGTGCTGAGTATTGTACTGTGTGCCAGACTCCAACCACATGTCGATGCGCTGGCACAGGCATGGCCTCAATTTGCATACCTGCAGAGACGAGGCACCGCTGAAGCAATCACTCGTGTTGTTGCCCATTGCAGTGCCATTCGGGCCCAGCTAAAGGAGCAACAGCGGGACATTCATGCGAGGCATGCTGGAGTCCAAGTTAAACCCTTTGTCGGAGGGGCTCAACTGTCAATCGACATGAGTCAAGCCTTCAATCTCATCCCAAGGGCGGAGATGTGGCGTGCCTTGATCTGGGCTCGTGTTCCGGAACCGCTTGTCCAGGCCATTATGCAGCTCCATGAGTGCAGCAGCTACCAGTTGGGCCGCTCAGGTGATGAAGACAAGGTGGCACACATTGCTGTGACCCGAGGGGTGAAGCAGGGTGATGTCATTGCCCCGGCACTATGGGTTGTATACTCCTGCTACGTCTGTTTTCGCACTGATGAACTCTTAGGTGCGTCGTGGTGCGATGAACATGCCACTATCTTTGCTGATGATCATCACTTCAGTTGGACACTTGGATCCTTTCACGATGGGGAGATCATGTGTGATCAGATTCAGGCCATCTTCACTCTGTATGCCTCGCTTGGTCTCTGTATCAATCCTGAAAAGTCTCACATGTTGGTTGCGGTCAAAGGCCTGGAGGCGGCGCGATGGCTTCGCAAGCGTAGGGTCAAGCACAAGACTGATGCAGGTCACTGTGTGCGATACAACATGTACACCAAAGCGTCCCTGCCTCTGCATCAGCAATTCCCGTATCTAGGGGTCGTACTGTCGTACGGCAACTACGAGGACCTTACCCTCAAGCATCGTTTGCAACAGGCCAACCTGCATCGCAACCGTTTGGCGAGAATCTTGCAAGGACGGGGGGGCTTATCGCTTGGTCGCCGACTGCGCATCTGGCATGTGTGCGTCCAGACTGCCCAACTTTACGGGTTGTTGGCCGTTGGTCTAACGACTTGGGGGTATCAACAACTGCACATCCAAACGCTGAAACACTTGAGAGCCTTGGCGCGCTCCCCACGTCATCTCACGCAGGAATCGGACAGTGCCTTTATGCAGCGCCTCTCCATCGAGGTGCCTCTCCTCAAGCTTCAGCGTGGGGCACGGCAGTGGTTGGAGCGCCATCAGCAGGATCATCCGTTTCCCTGTTATGCTGTTGCTGCGGTTTGTGCGCGCGCTCAGTGTGTCCTTGCAGAGCTATCTACGCTGCAGCCCAAACGGCACAGGTCTTCGGATCAACCGGCTCAGGAGGGCTCGCAAGCCCCTGATGGGACTCAGGCCTCGCATGCAGCTGCCACTTTGGTTGAGCTGCCGTCCATGCAGTCAGTCTATGAATGTCAGGAGTGTGGACAAACCTTTCCCACATTACACTTGCTGAAAACACACGAAGGAAAACGTCACAAGCTGCAGGCACCAGTTCGTCATTTTGATGCCACGGATCGGGCCTCATACTCCAAGGAGGGGTTGCCCATTTGCCGGTTCTGTGATGCCAAATTCACGAAATGGGGTTGTCTCCAGAGGCATCTGAAGAGAAATGGTTGCCCGGCACTTCGCAGGCAGGTTTCGCCGCCCAAGGAGCCCACTACTGTCTGCAAATTCTGAGGCTGACCGATCCGATGATGCTCCTTCAGTTACAGCTGCTCTGCCCTCAGTTCCCTCGGTGCCATCGGCTGCCTTATGTGGGGTGCAGGATTCTTCAGAACCTCAGCCGGGTCTGAATGCAGGTGCTCAACCGAAGACCCCGATCTGGCATAGCATGCCGCAGATTGGAACTGAGTCTCCGGATCAGCCTGTGATACAGTGGGCCAATGTGCTGGCTTTGCCTGCTCCTAGGCGATGGACCGATCTTGTAGCTGTGCCTGGTGTTGTGCAGAAATTGAAGCATCATTGCTCGATTTGCGGTCAGTGGCTAGCCACCTCAAACCAGATCAAACGGCACATTCGTCAGCAACATCCTGAAATCATGCAAAGGCATGAGGCCATGCTCGTGCATGCAGGCAAGCAGTGGGCTCGATCGTGCGTTAGCCCGTGTTCCGTTTGTGGAGCAAGTATTGCGGACACGCGCCAACATGCAGGCAAGTGTGTTGTGATGCAACAAGCGTGTCTGATACAGTGCGAGCTCACGCATCGCTCAGGCGGACGCAGCTCAGGCGTCAGCTCAGGCGTCCGTCCTATTCGGACATCTGCTACCGGCAGCCTCGAAGCTAGCCGAGATAGCGGACATGGATGCGGACCTCCCCAATGCCAAACGGCCCAGGGAGAATGCCAAGCCGGGAGCTCCCGGACCCAGGAAGGGGAATCATCAGGGCGGCAAAGGCCGCGGTCGCGGTCACCGACAGTGGGGACGGGGAGGAGGGCAGGGACCCAAGATCTCGGACGGTACTTCCTTGGAGGAATTGGTGCGCCTCATGGCGCAGGTTCTACTTCGGCAAGGAGATCAGTTACAGCGCCTGTCCTTAGACACCGGATTCTTCCTGATTCTTCAGACCCCTCCGCAACCAGGCTCGATCACCAACACGATGTTTCGGGTCACTTCGGCTTGGAAGAAGTTGATGAAGGAAACCCCGGAAAAGCTCGACCGGCCTCTCCGCCAGCACATGATCGAATGCCTCTTCCTCGAGCTTGCGGCACGGGCTCAGTTGGTTCGGAAACCGGAGGCGAAAGCAGAGGCACAGCAACTGGGCATCATCAACGACAAAGGCGACTGGAACTACCGGATCTGGAACGCCACGAGCCAGAAGTTGGAAGTCGACCAAAAGCGAATGCCCCTGAAGGCGGACACATTCCTGGAGCAGATCGACAAAGCCACGGCGATTGTGCGCCGACCGGATGTGATCACCCGCTTTCAGGCCATTGCCCCGCTCTCGGAGACGACGGAGAACGCCAGCATTCCATTTCTGTTGGACCTCAGTCTGAGGGAGCAGGAGCTTCACAACATCATGTTGGACTGGTGCGAGCTGGCGGTCTTCGAACTGCTAGCAGGGCGACTTCGTCGCGCAAGGCTCAAGCGTCCCGCGCAGCTGGAGAAACTTCAGGAGCTGTTGAATGCACTCTGAGTCGTGTGATCCTCAGAAACCCAGGAAATCAGTGTTATGCGAATGCGGTTATCCTGGCACTGTCTAGGCTGCTTCAGCCCATCTGCTATGCTGGGCACAGGTTCGCATGCACCCACCTGGGGCAGGTGCTCAGATCTGTGCAAAATGCTAAAGTGTCGAAGGCCCTCACCCTGCGCAACTTGACTGCGTGGTCCAGCTTGGCAGATCAGTGGTCGGAGCCCTATCGGCAGCATGACGCGGCCGAGTTCTTGCAGCATGTTCTGAGTTCGGTCGACTCCGTCCTCGCTCTCAGTCCATGGGAGGCTTTTCCGGATGGGGATGATGGATCACTCACGCGTGATCGGGGCTCTGGCGTTGTCCTCATTCCCATGCGTAGACCAGATCAACAATTGCATCCGGACATCCAGGCCAGTGTGGACGACTGGCACCAGCAAAGGCACCTTCATGCGTTTCGCTCAGATGCCGAGTGGGTTGTACTTCAGCTTGACCGTTTTAAGGGTCGTGGAGTCTTTCAGGTTCGTGACAATGCCGCGCTGCCCATTCCGGGTCGCCTATGCTTGCCAGTGTGCACCTCTCGGCATGCCGTGCATCATCAGATTTATCACACCACAGCTGTGGTGTTGCACTATGGTGCTCAGGTGTCCTCGGGGCACTACCGTGTTTTACTGATGGGGCAGGGGTTGGGGAATGCCGGTGCAAGTGCTGTGCATTACATCACAGATGACGACCGTCAGGCTGTGCGTTGTGGAACATCCGAGCTTGAAAATTTGGCGTCCCGAAGCTACTTGCTCTTCATGCAACGTGCGACGCAGCCTGTCCTGTCGGGTGATGCGCTCCATGCCTGATGCCGCCTCTCTGTCTGTGCTTGCTCCAGGGTCAGTGGGTTTCATTAGTGTTTGCGTTTCTACATGTCGCGAGCGCTTGATGTGACTGGCCATGCATTGTCTTCAGTGTCACATGCGGCGGATGCCGTGATGACATGTGGTGCTGCTGGGCATTTGCACTCTCCTGGGCAAGCGCAGTGTGGTGAGACATGGCAGCGTGTACTTTTGGGCATGCCGGCTTCCTTGATTCTTTCAGATGAGACTTTGGCGATGTACTTGGTCATTCGTGGTATACAGATTTATATGATTCGTGATGCTGGTATCCGTATCTATTTTGAGCAGTTTCCGGCGGGCTTGGAGCATCGTCAAGCCATCACTCGGCAGATACTTGAGGAACTTGAGGGTGCTGATATGTGGCACCAGCTTGCATTCTTTCGTTTGATGCTGGATGGAGATCATAAGGAAGATTTCTTCGAGATGGCATATACACTTATTCTACATCGCATGCGGGAGGACCCTCGGCCGTTCCACTTGCTTGTTCGCGAAAGTGAATACTCATGGGCCTGGGACGATGCTCTGGCCTCTGATGAGGCCAGACTGCTCTCCGCTGCTTCGGATGTGGCTTCAGATGTTGCTCCAACTGAGCGGGATGTGGATTCCGATATATCTCATGATTCCCTCGACTCTTTTTCTTATGACTCTGAGCTGTGAGGGTTGCTTAAGTGTAGGTAGGAGGTAGTGTTGTTGCCGCGGTTTCACATGTGAAGGCAACCACATTGTAGTTCCCACCTTTCCGTAAGTGTCACAGCGAGGGTGACCGCTTGTGCATCCCTGATCCCGTGTTCAGTGTCTCGACTTTGCTTTGGGCTGGTGACAGCCTCTTTGCTTTGTACAGCTTCTCTACCATTGCAGCTTGCTTGCAATCTTTTGCAACTTTCACGAATTTTAGCTGCACTGCAGCCGGAACGAAGTTCTGTTCGTGTCACGTAAGATGGATCCAACCTGTCTGCGCTTCAAAGTCAAAAAAAGTCACTGGCTCCCGGGCACGGGAGCGCCCTCTGCCTGCACACCTCTTGGCGGCTGGGGCGCCGCAGCCAAAACCATTGCGTTCCAGTCAACACGTGCTTGGCCTGCCAGATCTCTGCCCCAGCGACGAGGCCCGTGTGACTTCGGCTAATCTTCTCTCAGAGTTCACAATTAGGCTGCTTGCATTGTGCCATGAAAAAGGCTGGCATGTCTCTATCGAGAATCCGGTCAGGAGCTGGATGTGGTCTGTGCTGGCCCACTTCACTCGCCAGCTCAAATCCCCGGCCTTAGCATCCTTCTTCAACGACCTTCACACTGTCGATTATGCACAATGCATGCTTGGGGGTGCTAGGGATAAGGTTTCACGGCTGCTCACCTCGATGCAAGCCTTGTGCCCACTGGCTTGTGAGTGCGATAAGAAGCATACTCATTTGCCCTTTGCAGTGGCTCGTGCAGCAGGCCGCTGGACCTTCGCTACAGCTTCCGAGGCCGAGTATCCTCCCCAGTTGTGTGATACTTTCTGTCGTCTTGCGAGTAGTTCTCTGCCCTCGTGTCCCACACCCCTACCTAGGCCCACGGTGCGGCAGTCTCGCCGCGCACCGCAGTTAATCCCCGAGTTTAAGGAGTTCCGGGATTCTAGGCCTGCCCAGGGTGAGTTTCGCGAGCTTGTACGTGACAAGGGCAGCGACGGAAGCTGCTCAACTTTCGGCATCTTTCACACAAAGCAGGAGTTCACCCACAAGGCCCTTAAGCTTGATCATCCCTTCGACGACGCAGCGGCGATTGACGACAGCACAAGAAGGAACATTTTCGATCTCCTTACCAAAGGCCTTTCGTCTGTTGCTCAGAAGCGCATCAATGCCATAAAGAAGGTGAATCAGATGGCGAAGGAGCTCTCAGTGGAGGAAGCAAGGTTTCAAGCTTCGTTACCACAGCACGCTCAGGAGGTCTTGAAAGGCAAACGCATACTGCTGTGGAGAAAGCTGTTGCAAGAAACTGGATTCCCAGATTTTTCGGTCAGTGAGCTCATGGAGGGCGTCGACCTTGTCGGCAAACCGGCCAAGTCACCTCTGTTCGAGTGGAAAGAGGTCCCCGCGACTTCTTCCGTGCAAGATCTCCTGGACTCATCTGTTTGGCGTAATCACGCGCTTCAGAAGTCGCCTGATGTCGGCGACTCGGGCGATCTTACGAGCAAGCTTTGGGAATGCACTATGCAGGAGGTTGAGAAAGGTTTTCTCAGGGGGCCATTCCAGTCGGAAGAACAAGTTCGTGCAGCGCTTGGTGAAGAAGCCGTCTGCTGCACCCGGAGGTTCCTTGTCGTCCAGGGTAGTGCTGAGAATCCGAAGTTCCGGCCCATTGATGATTTTCGAGAAAGTGGCATCAACGCAGCCTTTCATTCCCTTGATCGCCTGCGTTTGCACGACGTCGACTTCTTCATAACCTTGTGCCGTTTCATTTGCAATGCTGTGGACGAGAAAGGAGTAGTTGTGGTGTTCCTCAGAAACGGAGAACAACTGCGAGGGAAGCTCAGCCCGGATTTTGGGCGAGACTGCGGATGGGTAGGGCGGTGTCTCGATTTGGAGAAAGCTTATAAGCAGGTACCTTTGGCGTCACAGAGCCTTAGGCTGGCGGTACTCCTCGTTCGAGAGCCGCTCACGAATGCTTTTCGCTTCTTCGTCAGTAACTCCCTGCCGTTCGGGGCGTGCGCAGCTGTATACAGCTTTAACCGCATAAGTCGTAGCTTACTTCATCTTGCAACCACTCTTTGTGGTGTTATTGGCGGCGTATTTTATGATGATTTTCCTTTAATTGAACCGGCACTGACCGCCAGGCTGTGCTCTGTTTCAATTGAGGCGCTGCTTGACATTCTCGGGTGGCGGTACAGTCGTGACAGCGAAAAGGACAAGCCGTTCGCTAGCCAGTTCAACTTGTTGGGAGTCCAGCTCTCTCTTGACTCTCTTCATCTTGGCAGCATCGCCCTGGAAAACAAGCCATCGAGAGTTGCAAAGCTTCTGCTAGTCGCGCAACAGATGTGTGCAAGCGGCGAACTCTCGCGAGCAGAGGCCATGTCTTTGCAGGGGCAGCTCAACTTCATGGTGGGCTTTGCGTCAGGTAGGTCGCTCAAGCTTGTTTGCCGAGCACTTTCGAACCTAGTCTACTCCAACCGAGCCTGGACGCGAGACGAGGTCAAGCAACTGGGAGGTTACCTTGAGGGTTGTCTCGAGGCTCTTGCGCCAAAGTCGATGTGCTTGAAAGGGGGCTCACGGCCCCTCGTGATTTTCACTGACGCCGCCTATGAGCAAGGGGTTGCTACTTGCGGTTTAGTGGTTCTTGATCCCGATTCGGGTAGGCGCGAAGTTGCTGGGGGTCAAATCCCCTCTTCCTTGATAGAGCTGTGGCACCAAGACACAGAGGATCAGATTATCGCTCAGGCCGAAGCGTTTGCTATGGTGATTGCAAGGGATTATGCAGCAACCTTCGCAAAGGGCCGTAGGGCCTTCTTCTTCGTTGATAACGAGTCCGCACGATATTGCATGATCCGCGGTAGCAGCCCCGTGAGAGCGCTGCTGGCGCTGGCTCACGCGTTTTATGCAAGCGAGTGCAGAGACCAACTTATCACTTGGATTGAGCGTGTGCCATCGGCATCTAACGTCGCAGACCTCCCCAGTCGCGGCGAGTGTGCGGCTGCAGCCAAGATGGTAGGAGGGCGTGTCATCAACATTGACAGCATTGTGAAAATCGCTGCTCAGCGGTGCTCGGATACCAGCGCTCTGCCTTGGAGCCTCCTGGCGTGCCACTTCAAGGGCCCTGTTCCCGCCTTTCACTTCTCGTGAGCTTCGGACGTCTGCAAGGGGGCAAACGGGTCCTGTGGTGCCCTTGAGATGTGTCTCGTTGTGCGAGGGCGTTGCTACCACGGACGTAGGCGGTTTGCATGCTTTTGGATCACCCCTGTTCCGTTGCTCGCGCAAAAAAAAGAAGACAGTCCGAGTGTTTGCACAACTCTTTGATTGATGAGCATATTCTTGCGAATAAGTTTGAAGATCGTATTGATTGCAAATTTTGCTCGTCTCACATATTGCGAACATACTGCGGGACATATTCCGCATGCGTTTTCCCTTTTTATATATAGGCAGTTTTGTAAATCACGAAGACGACTATTTCACGAATGTGATCATGTTGTCTTTGATTTATAGTCGCTAACACAGCGACGCAAAACTGCCAAAGAACTTTTGTGCTCTCACGTCGAACATTTTGCATGTTGTGAGACATTGACTTTCTCTCCTCACGTTGAGCTTTCATGCTGTGTGAGTTGGCGATCTCGAAGAGCGAATGGATTCGCTTTGGAAAGTAGTCGGCCCCCTTTTTTGGTATGTGAACTACTTTTAACTTGATGGAAGTTTGACTGTCTCGTGCATCTGTCGGTGTATCCAACTTCCGAAGATTGGTTCGTGCCGGCAGTTGTGGCTCCGGAGGCAGCTGCAACAGAGAACGTTTTCCCGCCCACCCACCCTGTGGGGGCAAACGGGTCCTGTGGTGCCCTTGAGATGTGTCTCGTTGTGCGAGGGCGTTGCTACCACGGACGTAGGCGGTTTGCATGCTTTTGGATCACCCCTGTTCCGTTGCTCGCGCAAAAAAAAAGAAGACAGTCCGAGTGTTTGCACAACTCTTTGATTGATGAGCATATTCTTGCGAATAAGTTTGAAGATCGTATTGATTGCAAATTTTGCTCGTCTCACATATTGCGAACATACTGCGGGACATATTCCGCATGCGTTTTCCCTTTTTATATATAGGCAGTTTTGTAAATCACGAAGACTACTCGTTCAAAAGTGAGGTGCCTTGTTTTCCTTACACGCAGACGCCGATCCTCCTTCAGGTGTTGTATCGTGCTGGTCTGTCCAGTAAGGAGGGCTTGCAAGAACACGACAGTGTGGACCCCATCATGGTTGTCAAGTTTCCGCGCATGTTGCGGGGGCCGCCTTCCGCGTTGCCGCCTGGTCGCTATCTTCGGTCGACCTGGATTCTTCGTGAGGGGCAGTGGCATCAGATGGAGGACCGTGCCGTCATCCCTGATCAACCTGCCAAGTTTGACCGCTACGTGGAGCGTGCTGTGTTTCAGTACCATCCCGTTCGGGGCAGCTTGAGACCGGCCGCTAGCTCGGAGGTCCTTGCGCCACCGTTTTTGCCTCCTCCTGCCCCGCCATCGGGCCGGTCATATGTGCGCGCCCTGCCCGCCAAGTGGCGTGCTGTGGTTGTCACACTGGCGCGTGCCATCCATGGGGGGTACCAGGGCTTTACATTACCTCTGTGTTTCAACGGCCTTTCCAAAAATCATGCCTCTCAGTTCGGCTATGATCATTGGTCGTCGGTGTATGAGGATGTATGGCATGATGCGGCCGAACAGAAAAGGGAATATCAAGGATACGAAGGAGCAATTGTGCCTCACGTGGTTGAGTTCGCCGAAAGTAAACCCAAAGAGGGCTTGGTGATCCAATTCCTCGACCACGATGGAGGGTTGGTCCATACCTACAAGAACCCTTACAGCCGATGGAAATACCGTATCACCATCAAAGACGCTCCAAAGGCAGTGACGGCGTGGACATTGGTAGGAGTCGACAAGGAGAACTGGTGGAATGAGTATGCTCCTGGCAAGGACTGCATTGCACAGCATGCTCCCGATTCTCACTATGACCCTGGGTTGCAAGTGAATGTTTTGAGTATGGGGCGAGAAGTTGATGATGCCATGTGTGCCTACCTCTTCGATGTGGTGGAAGCAAGGAAAAACAACCCTAACTCCGTGATCTTCATTGGCGCAGGGGTGTTAGGCAAGAATTCGTGGCTGAGTCGGAAAATCGCCGACAACCCTGAAAGGGCCAAATTGCGGACAGACTACCCATGGGGGGAGGTCGTCCAAAGAATTGCACGCAGAGCGGCATCGTGGGGGAACCAAGTCATCATTGAAGTCCCTCCTCGCGTACAAGTTCAGGAAACCAAGCAGTACAAGGGGCTCCAGGAAGACGCCGTGTGGAAGAGCATCAAGATCCAAGGATGTACTCACGGGCAACGTTATATCTTTCGAGATCCTGTATCTCCTGGAAACGCCGTCGAACTCGGCTACTGCAAGGATGAATGGGAGTACCTTGCCGCAAATGTTGCGTTGCATCCTAAGTCGTCCGACGTGTGCTCATCCAAACATTTGCACATGACTGATGTGGACGCTAAGGATCGTTCTGATAAGTGCGAGTTAACCAGCCAAATTTCCAGGAGGTTGCTTAAGGCCTTGAAATTTCAGGCAACGGGCGATGGGAAATTGGTAGCAATGCCGTCGAAGGCCGGTGGGCGAAAGCCTGACCGCATGATTGTTGACCTCTGTGGCATGGGCAACGGCTACGCCATGTCCAAATCCACTAGGGGATGCGCTCGCATTACCTGTAAAGAGCTAATTGGCTCCAAGGCCGATGAGGACACCCTCGTCGGTGCAATGAAGGAATCGTGCCGGAATGACCTGCACACACCTGTGCTGTTTGTGGCATCGCTTTTGCGATCAGGTGCTGGTCCTGGAGGTAGCGAAGGGGCTTGTGTGGGGGGTGAGAAACGTTCCGGTGGGAAGTACAAGGTTTTCAGAAGTGTCTTGAAATCTCTCAAACGCCTGCTGAAGAAGTGTGCGGAATTTTCCGACGTCTATTTTTCGCTTGACATGCCTTCTTCATGTTCATGTTGGTCTTGGCCAGAGTTGCATGTTCTTGTTTCAAGTGGCAAGGTAACGAAGGTTAAGATTGGTGATCATGTTGGTGCTGGTGGCGATGGTGGTGGGCGCAGGATCATGTTCTCTAACATGCCTGAGGCGGATCGTTTGATGGTGAAAATGACTGATTGCTTGGACCATGAAGCGGAGAGCAGTTTGTCGCAGTGCATTGATGTGTCATGGCGGTCGATTGCGAGGAATGTTCGCAGCCTTGTTCGAGCTCATGCCAGTGTCAGTCATGTCGCACATGAATCTGAGGACATTGCATGGCAACAACGTCAGTGTGTAGACGCTGATGGAGGGGCTATTAGACAGCCCCGACTAAGGAACAACTAAGGTCTGACCCGACGGATCGGGGAAGGGTGTCTCTTACAGAGTACCCGGAACCGTGAAGTCGTATAGGGGTAGGTACTTCTCTCCCACGGAGGAAGGACCGGTTCCCGAGCCATGGAAGAAAGCTACAATGCCTATGAATTGTCCTTCGAAGGAGTGGCCCATGAAGAAGTTTTCCCTTCTGGTGGGATGATGCGGACGTTCATGAAGTTCCACACGTTTCTGCAGATGTATTCTGAGGACTCGTCGCAGAGCGTTTCGCTCCCGCCAAAGATTACGAAAGACGAAGTGGTCGACAATGATCTCATCCGCACATGGGCAGCATTCAAAGCACCTCCGCTGGTCTTGCTGTTCACGTGCGCAAATCTGTCGCCAGGAGGGGATCTTTCCATTCGAGTTCGAGAAATCCTCAAGGCTTGCTTATTTGCCGCCCCGGAGGAGTACATGAACAAACCTTATGGGGAGATCCTCGCCATGATCATCAAGTTTGGTGGAGGTCTCAAGCACGTTGTTGCTGATTACGGAGGGAAGTTTCATGCCATCACAAGATTCATGGTGGATGAGGAAGTGATCCGTGATGATGCAAAGTTGGCTGTGGTTGAACTGGAACAGGAAAGACAACAAGTTCGGTTCGACTTGAATACTGCAACCAGGAACATCGTCAATGCGGAGGTCTACTACAATCTCGCCGTCCTCATCAACTCCGTGGAGACGCCTTACCAGGCCGTGACAGACACAAGAATTCAACAGTGGTATACGGTGAACCAGGACTACTACCACAAGTTGCCTATGTCAGGCAGAGCACCCGACCAATCCGACTTGTTGGGAGAGCCTACGTTATGTAGGGTGTGCAAGCTGATGTACATGTTCGCAAAGCATACTGGGTATGGGCTTCGGACCTACAACCAGGAATGTGCAGCGAGCAGCGACGGCGCCGCGCCGATCAACGTCCATCAGCTGGCTTTGATGATGCGCACAATGCCTCAGGGCATGGGACATCCGCTCGCCTTTGCGATGAATTCACTCCAGGCGTTCAGCGTCTGTCTCTACGTGCTTCATTCCTATGTATCGTGGGTAGATCCACACAGTGGACTCCCGCACTATCGATGGACTACCGACGTGCTCCCCGATTCCGACTATACCACGTATGCTTTCCTCACGGAGACGTTCCGTGGCTACGCCTGGAACCAATGCGGAGTTGAATCTGGATACGTGGCTGACTGCTCCACCAAACGTGCCACCTTGGGCATATGGGAAGCAGAGTTCCAACAGATGAGGGCACCGAGTCCGCTGATGCAAGATGATGGCCTATTTCCGCCCAACCTTCAACGGCATCCTAACTGGGTCTACTCATCGGGGAGAGTTGCGACGCCCACGGCAAGCAATCTCGAACCGGAAGGAATCGTGCACCCTGAACATGGAAGAACGCCGGAACAACCGCGGGACTCTGCTGCCGGACCTCGAGCCACTCCTAGCCACGGACCAAAGAGGGCAAGGACGGACGAGGCAACGGCATCGGCATCGTCATCTTCTGCAGCACCTCCTCCACAACAACCGCCTTCACAACCGGAAGAGGAACCAACGCAACCAACATGGGAGGAAGCTCCAATCCCTGCTGGCGCTCAGGAAAGCTGGTGTCACTATGTCAACATCATTGAGAAGGGCTGTCGCTCTGCCTTGCTGGCGACGATCCGTGATCGCGACGAGTACCCACCTACCATTGACGAGACGCCAAAGTTTGTGGCCAACCACGAC